CTTTAAAATAATTTAAAATAAGAAAGTTGAGACCGACTTCCGGTATGACCGGAAGTGCCGCCATCTTGAAACTCCCAATACTTTTAATGTGGGGTTTAGACGGAACACCCTGTATATACTTAATAAGGTAACGTTTTAGCATAACGGAAGATGCAAGGGCTATAGTTCTAAATAATATTGTAGTTTGTAGTACATATTATATTAATTTATAGCTTTGTTGACTTCAGTATTTATATGAGCTTTTAATACTACAATAAACTATTACTCTTAGTACCCCCAGAGTATAGTTTTAGTAAGTATTTAGTACTCCAAAACCCTAGTTTTTTTTAATTTATGTAGTTTGGTAGCTTTCTAGCATAAACTTATACTGAAGTTATAGAATTTTACTAATTTTAGCACTAGTACTAGTTCTCTAGATTATATCTTTTATTTTTTTTTTCATTTTGAATAGTTTGTTGTAAATTTAGTCAATTGTCTCGCTTTTGATCCCATCAAACTTGAATCTGTTCAAATCCCAGCATTCGACAGTCGCAACTTCCAAAGCCGGTGCAATATCCTGTCGAAAACTTCATCAAACACCTTCCAAACTTCATCTCATCGACATCACAACAGTAGAAATCATGAAACCCGCATGAAATATAAAAAAACCGTTGGAAATATTTCACCCGCTGTTCACTGCGCCTTTTTCCGCAGTCTTATATTTATTATCGTAAGAAATTTCGCTATGATGAAATTACGGAGGAGGAATAAAAGACGGTTAAAACCTGATTTCCGGAAAGGAAATAATTAAATCGCAGTCAATTAGACGTTTCGCGAATTAAATCCGATTTCTTGTTTTCTTTGTCGATGGATGATTTAATCAAAACCTGATAGAAAAAAAAGTGCTATTTTCCGCAACGGTTTTATCGATTTTTAGGGCCAAAAGTGTGACCTTGGTACTTCTATTCGTATTCCCATCGAGTGTCAATAAATTAATCACTCGGTTCGCTTGACTTTTCAGCACCAATTAACAAAGTGGTATAAATACAACAGGGAGGAAAAGGGGATTATTTACGGTTACCGGCAGTCGTCTCATTAGCCCGATTATGAAATTGGGTACGAGAAACGGAATAATAATTAAAAGTCAACATTAAGGAATTAGAGTTAAACGATTTTGATTATTTTTAAAACGCAAAATGAGACAAACTCTAATTTAGTCTTTTTGTCAGTGGGAAGATATTGATTAAGTAGGAAATACGAAATCTTGAAATATCAGAACACAGTAGACTTTCATGAATTATTTAATGCTTTTATTATTCATGGTTTTGTATAATGCCGTTCGATCCCTTTCTCTTTGTGGATTTCGTACAAAAAGTTTATTATTCTGACAAAGTTTTCGGATTAAAAACGTGTCTGGTCTTAATTTCAAAAGTAAGAAACTGACTGTCATGCTAAGTTTGAATTTTTAAGGGTTACTATACATGGTGCGCCAGAACTCGCGCTCCAGAGAAAATTTTCAAGTAAGGTAAGATACCAGGAACATGAAAAAAATGTTTAAATGTTTCTCTGTCAAAAAATTTTGACATTTATTTTTTGACATTTGACATTTTTTATATCTATTTAATGATAGTGATGATCTTGTATATGTTTTTTTTTACAATTATTTAGTAAAGGGACAAAAATTTTGCCAATAAAAGCCACAAATAACATTGAACAGAGTTCCAATTTAGGATACAGCTTCTTTGTTTCCTCTTTTCATAGCCTATAGCAAAAAAAAACTTGGAAAATTATTTTTCCAACAAAAATAAATAGAGTCAAAGTGCAAACTTTAAACCCTCATGACTTCGAAATTTTTATAGATAAAATTTTTTTAACATTTTTTCCATGTTCCTGGTATCTTACCTTATATGGCATTTTTCTCTGGGCGCGAGTTCTAGCGCATCCTGTATTTTAAACTGTAATAGAATATTAAAATTATAGAAATTTATCATTTTACATCTGCATTGCTAGAATGCTATGGTGCCATCATTTAGGAAAGCTAGAGCATTATAGAAAATCATAGTACCTTTTGACAGTAATACAGGGTGATTCATCTCAGCTCCGGTCTTCTGTAGCTCAGTTATTATTTAAGTGAGAATGTTGATATTTTGTAGACTTGATTTATATTTTAGAGCGCATTTCAGGAAAATATTTTTGATTATAGAAGGTGACCCAAAAATAAGTTACAATACAAACTTATGTTTTTTTTTAATGAAACACCATATGTTTCGTGGCATGAATGTAGCTTTTAATTTCAATGTTTTTAAGCTAAACTTCTATTAGTCGATTTTGCTTAGTTTTTGAATTAAGTTGTTTATTTTGGCGAAAACATTCTTTTAAAAAAAATCTATTACACAAAGTTAAGACAGCTGGAAAAAAAAATACCACTGTAAAGAGGAAAGTACGTACGTTAAGACTATAATATTTTTTTAATGTATTGCAATGTTATAAAAATGTCAAAGTTTCTTAAAAGTTAAATAACTTAAAAAATAACTGAGCTACAAAAGACTAGAGCTAATATGAATCACCCTGTATGAAATGGAGCTTAGGATTGTTCTGGAATGCTAAATACGGGATTCTGTTACTAGAGTGTTATAGAAGAATTGAAAAAAAAAGTAGAAAAAAATTAATTTTCTTTCTGCAAACAACTTGCGTTAAAATTCCTCACACATCGTCAATGTTTCTCGTACCTTTGGTGAAAACAAGACCAACCGCAAACACAGCCAACCGAGATTGAATTCGCAACATGTGCTTTTCGCTAGTTCGAAATGAAATAAAAACTTTATTGCAACCGAAAGTGCTTTCCGTATAAATTTACTTCAGTGGAAAATCAAGACGAAAAAGTGATTTGTATCCGTGCGGAAAATGCATCGGATAATTCAATCGAGAATCTCGTTATATTTATTGGGAGGTTATTAGTGTTCCGTGTCACGTAGATTACGTATAAATAATTTTAATAGAGAGAAACATAATTAGAGGAAAGAAGGTAAATGACTCGCAACGTCGGCAGTGGACAATAGGGGTGGCGCACGAAAGGGATGAATAATGCAAAAAGGGGTAGAGGGAGAAGCGAATCGTGTTTTAATTATAATTAGCTATTGTTAGAAACACGAATAAGGAGAAAAAATGCGTCAATTGGAATACTAAACTGTATTTCTTCTACAACTATAATTAATGATTGATTTTTCTCGAAATATCCATGGAAATTAATTTTGTTTCAATACTCACGTCGCTGAAAATGAACTCTTATCAAGGAAAAATTTGCTACAAGAAAATTGTAAACCTCTGAAAACTTTTTCTTTGAAGTTTTCTCCCGACCCTTGGTGCAATTTTAATTTTACCAGATAATTTTTAAGCAAAGAATTTAAAACGAATTTTCTTATTTTCGCGGTAAAAACATGTTAAAAGATTTATAAAGGGAATCTGGTTAAAGTTGTTTCGTCCGTATGGAGACAGAGTTACTCAAAACATTTTAATGTTTTTAATTTTGCTTTACATGTAAGTACGGGTGTGTATATGAACCCTAGAGTTTAATTAGGTACCAGAGTTTCAGAGTTCAGAAAGCTAACTGAAGTGCTATTCTGATACTAAGACAATAGTCCTAGTACTAGGAGATATACATATAGACATTACTTGGTGTACTAGTGCTAGAATTTAAATAAATTTGTTAGTTTGTTTACGAAAAAATCGTGATCAATAAATCAAAAGTTTTTTTTCCGCTTTCCTCTTTCGGTTCGAAACTTCATAAGCAGTAAAGCAGCCGGCGGCTCGCTTACAAAAAAGATAAGCGAATAGAGGAGAGTAATAAAGCGGTGAGAAAATTTCGAGTCGATGTGGAAATTGAGCAAAAATCGCTTAATTTTCGGTTATCGTAATCGCACTGTTTCAAAACTGTTACATATTTAATTCGGTCAAATCGATAATTGTTTCGGTCCGCTTCTAACAATAGAACCGTTTGTATTTCCTGCATATTCGCTATCAATTATTCTAGACCGGAATTCGGACCCGGAGTATTAAACACGGCCTGTTTTACGTTCATGTACATATGGTGCGTGCTAATGACCAACCCAGAGACAAATTAAGAGGATTATAAACAAGATGAAGGTTATTTTGTTACAGGTGAGTCGCATATTATGTGATGGGCGAACCTGAAAGTGAGTATTAATTTAAATCCTCCAATTTAAAGTTTTTATGGACGTTGTTACGAGAGAGGATTTCGAGGATAATGAATTTAAATTCTGAAAAATGAAATTAAAATTGTGACAGTGAGAATTTGAAATATGTTTTTGGTACCTAATGACGCCCTAGTATTCTAGAAAACATAGTTTTTATATCAAATTTTTACATAATGTGTTAATTTATTAGTTATTACGATATAATTATTGTTTACAATTCGGCACGAAAGCAGTAAAACAAACATTCTGAACATCTCTTAAACACATGTATTTTACTCAAATTTATACAATAGAGCACGAATACAAATAAAACTGTACAAATATGCTAACACAACAACTGAATTGCACTTCCCAACTCAAACAGTATAAATTATTTAATCGACTAGACTAATTAGAACCCAATTACTCTCCCGAAAAATAACATCCCATAATCAAATTTGCTTGTGTCAATGTCAAATTGTAAAAGTCAATCAAAATTCTCTCGACCATAAAGAAGAACTTCCATCCGGAGAAGTTGGAAGTTCGTCCGAGAAATTTAAACTTGTCGTAATATTTCGGTGATTTTTTGCAACTCTAGTGAGTTCAGTTTTTGTACCTTGTGTACTCGAAGATTTTTTTGAACATGAAGATCCTCCAGTGCGGTAGAGGTTTTTGGCAAAAATTGAGGCTTGTTGGAATTGAGGAAACGGCGATTGTTACCTCAATGTTGAGTTTTTGTCGGCAGGAGTTTCCGACATCTCCGGATGGAAGTTCTTCTTTATTGTCAAATTGTGAAATAAAAGTTTGAATACAATTTGAGTATTTTTATTGCTTATAAAACTAGAAACTTATAGAAAAGCTTGACGGTGGATTCCCGTATGTAGGATTCTTCCTTTTCTCAAATTATCGATGATATCGTCGGTGGTCTCATCTTCAATTCCTCGCAGAGTCAACATTTGGTTAAATTTCCTCATCCTATGAAGGGCCATCTTTTCCAGTTTTTGCCTAATTTCCGGATGTTTCTTGAAACAATACTTCATGTCATCTTTTTCTAATTTGTAAACTTCGGACACTTCCAGTGAGACAATCGAGGCGGGATCGGTAGCTGTTTCCATATCAACAATCCCGAAATAATCCCCGTCTTCAATATGCATCACTTCCTTCCCCCCGATCAACTTTATCGCACATGTGCCGTAAAGTATGAAATAAATATCTCCAGTCCGCTCATCCGGTTCCAAAATCACATCATTAGCGATATAAACTTCCTGTTTCAAAAGCGCCAAAACCGACCCAACGGCTGCTTTGGATAATCCTTTGAATATTTGCACTTCTTCGATTAGATTCCGGCAACTGTAAAGAAGAACTTCCATCCGGAGATGTTCACTAAGCGCATCAAGGATTTTCTCTTCTGAAAAAAACTTCTTATCGAACTTGTAGTCGTAGTAATTGTTGATGCGTTTGCGTAAATCTCCCGAAAAGTCGTGTCTTCGCATGTATTTGTCTGATTGGATTTTCAATTCTTCGAATTTGGTTTCCGAAATGTTGACCACGCCGAATAATTGGAGGACTCTGGCCACGACATAGACGTAAAAAATCAAACCGAGGATTGTAATCCAAGCCAGGAGCATCATTTCGAGGTTATTTCCCGTTTTGTACTTGTGAGTAGCACAACCCACGAAGTGACACATGACCATGGATAGATGGTGTAGGTAATTTTGGAAATGGAAATGGGCCAATTCCCAGGCTGACTTGAGTTTCTTGGTCTTTGGGTCCTCGGTGATAAAGGACAACCAGCTGTTCTCAGTATCGTACTCAATGCGGAAAACTTTTTGATAAACTGGGATTAAGCCAAAAAAGCAAGTGAGAGTATGCAAACTTAAGAAACCGACAAAGGCCGTTGCGACAACAATCCGAATCGATTCTCTGACTTTAAAATCGCACAAAAGATTGTCAAGATTTTTCATCATTGTTCTCACTCTCACGAGTCTCAAAGTATGAAACTCATATAAAACAAATTGTGCTCTATCATCAAGGGGAAAAATGTAGAAAATGAAGTAACTAAAACTGGCACCGAAATCAAAAATAAAATACGTTTTGAGGTAGTTCAAAACGATCGATTTGTGGTCCAAAATGACCGTTCGAGTCGTATCGATCACATACCCCACGAAAAATCGTAAAATCACGTCAAGGAAAAGCAGGAAATTTACACAACCGATGATATGACGATATATGAGGTCGTTCTTTTCGTCTAGTAGTTCCTTATTGAGGAAACTCCCCACGAAAGTTTGCACGACGAAAACTAAAAACCATATGAATGATACGATTAGATTTTCTCGTCTTGCGAAATTGCTGAAAGGGTGGACGACATATCGGTATTTTCGGCATAATAGGTGACGGTTTTTCTCTCGCTTGAAGGCGGCAAGACTTCGGAAGTAGGTGGAACTGTCGACGTTTTTCGCTATTGTCAAGTGACTGTGCAAGCCGTTGCAGAAACTTTGGAAGCAGCTGTCGTAGGGACTGTTGATTGTGGACTTTTCGTCGATTTTTGAAAGCTCACACTCGTGTACAAAACGGTTTGTTACTCGTTTTAATGGCATTTTGACAAGTGTGACTGATAGGGTGTGCTTGCTTGATTGGAAGTCGGAGATTCGTTAACAGTTTTTAGACGGGATTTTGTCATTTTTCTGTTTTCAACATAATCTAACTTTTTACTAGTTTGATTTTTTCTACGAAAATTTTGCAGGACAGTGAATGTCTTGGTTTTCCAGTATTTAGGACTCGTTGATTCTGGGCTTTTTGTGGATCATTGTTAGAGGGTCGAGTATTCTACAGGCTGTTCCGGCTAAACCCCACATTAGAAGTATTGGGAGTTCTAACAATGATATTTATCTAAAATTTAGTTTATAGCCATAATCGGTGAGGTACTGCTCAATAAAAATATTTTCAAGTTTGCAGTACTTCCTATTACATCGGAAGTGGATATCAACTTCGTTATTTTAATGAACAAATACACGATTAGCCCGTCACACCAAACTTTTACTTAAAACACAACGCGTTTCAACCGCAAAGGGTCATCATCAGGTGAGAATAAAACTAACTAATTTAACAATGGTAATGCCTTATATACTAATTTTTCCGATTTTCACTTTCCCTAACCCCAACTAACGAGTAGAGTTGAGAAAAGGGAATGGGGTCGTTGTCTGAATTCATAAGATTATCTCTATTTTTAAATATTTCAAGACTCTCGAAAGCGTCAAGAAATTTACAATTATTGACTACTCTAATAATTTTCACATTAGTTTCATTGATTTTATGGTCTTTTTCAAAAACATGTTGGGCCACACTTGATCTGTTATATCTTAAATGAGCTATGTGTTCTTTAAACCTAGTGTTAACTGAACGACGTGTTTGCCCAATATATTTTTGTTCACAATCTTTACAATTAATTTCATAAATCCCCGATTTTTCTAAGGGTCCTACTTTATCTTTGGGATAACCAAGAAAACTTTTGAGACTTCTGCCAGAGTTGTAAACAACTTGGAAGTCAAGATTTTTGAAAATTTTACTCAAACCTCTTGTGATTAAGGGAGTATAAGGTAAAGTTATAAACTGTGTTTTCTTTGGTGTGTTTGTAAAAGTCGTGGAATTACTGACCATTTTTCTAGATTTAACTTTTTGAACCATTTTGTTAATTATGTTAACATCAAAACCATTACACTTCGCTGCATCTTTAATAATTTTGAGCTCCTTTTCAAACCTTGCATGAGTCAAGGGAAAATTAACAAGCCTGTGAATTAAAAAGTTAAAACTCGCCATTTTATGTTGAGAACAATGATGTGAGTCAGCGGTGATATAGCGAAGTGTATATACCAAGAAGAAGTCGTTATTTTAAATAAAAAGTTATGTTTTTCATTCTGTTTTTGGATTACTTAAGTGATTTTGACAGGGTTTTCATTAGCCTTTCCTATACCTAATAAGTTTAACCGTTTTTGAAATATTTGGATCCTTTTAAAAAAAAATGGAATTGAATTTTTCCATTCAAAAATTGATAACTCTACCACTTTTTATTATGTTGAAACCGTATTTGGGTATGCGAGAAAAAAAGGGGATAGATCTTTCCTTTGGTGTACTTATAATTGGAAAAATAATTAACAATCCGCCAAAACGTACCTAAGGTTACGTTTAGGAAATGTCAAATACTGTAACTCAATTTTTCTAAATGAAACATCCCAATTTTTTCTTCACTTAATTAAAGAGAATTTAATTCTGTATCAATCTGTATTCCCTATACCTATGTTTGATAGTTTTCAAGTTATAGCAACTTCTTTTGATATTATGAGGAATTCATTAGCAATAGCTACTTTAGCATAGGTTGACATAGAAATAAGAAAAAAATAGAATATTGAAGTTATTTAAATTTAGATTATAACTATTAACATACATAAAGTTTTTTTTTTTTTAATGGAAATTACCAAGTCAAAATCTTGATGAAAAAATTGGTAGCAGCTTGTCTCCATAGCCACAAATTTTGTTTGCTCTTTGTTTTTGTCCCTAGAAATTTTGTTAAAAAATTATGGTTATGTTTTCAAATTGAGATGTTGTCAAAATTTTGACTTTTATGAATCTTGTGGGCCTGTTTGCTCTTTGAAAGCACTATAATTGAACACCTGGGGACAGACATCATTACCTAAAGTCTAAAGACAGAATTCAGTGCTAATAATTTTTATAGGAACACACCGCAAATAAGTACAAGTTTGTGGACAAAAATGAGAATCTTGCTACAAAAACTTTGAAGAAAAAGGATTATTTAGCAAAAGATCCAAGTAGGTATTATGATGATTGGCAATAAATTTTGTGTAATTTATTAAAATGAGCTCAAAGTTGATGCATTTTTTAAATGCTTCTTCACTTTAGTTTAAAAATTTTTACTTTTTCAACTCATTCCTCAAAAACGATGCACAATACACTAATTTAATTGCGTTCTTCCGAGGTTCTTTCTCATTCATGTTTATTTTGTATTCTTATCAATTTTTACTAAAAATTGAGAATGTTTAGCACAAATTGCGTCTACATTTTAACGGGTCCTCGTTGTAACTTCCAGCTTGCAAACTATTCGTTTCCAAATTTCTAAAAACTGTTAGCGGTACCGAATTTGTTTCTTTTTGGGTGTTTCATCTCTAAATTTTCTTAGACGATTTTTTGTGTTGACGTTTAATGACATTGTTTTCAAATTAATTCAAAAAACCAGAACTGCCAACTTCTTTTATTAAAATTACCAGGAATGAATTTACTAGTGGTGCCAACCTTAAGACTGTTTGGCATTTCCATTTAAAAAAAACAGACTTTAGGATGTAATGAATGCCATAACAGCTGCAGATGTCAGTTTAAAAACCGATCGAGTTTGCGAGCGAGAATTTTAAGACATCTAAGGCTGTTATAACATTATTACATACGAGGTTTGTGCAAAATTTTATCGGTTTCTGTCAAATAAGCCAAAAATTGAAACACATTAAATCCAAAACTTCTAGGATGTAATGATAACTGCAGATGTCAGTTTGAAATCCGAGCGAGTTTACAATTTTAACATTGTACTGACATATCGATATTGTAAAATTGATATTTCAATATTGTGAAATTTTACAGCAATCAATAAGGTTATGTCATAGTTACCAGACTATTTTTGTGCATGTAACATTGCTCTTAACAGACAGTAGTAGTAGCAGTAGAAGTAAAAGAATAACACAATTGTGAAAAAAAACTTGGCGTTTTTGAGTCGTTCCATTTGAAAAAACTCAGTTATGGTTATTCTAAGTTTCCTAAACTTAATCTTAAATTTTGGAGGTTTGTTAATTATTTTTCCAATTATAAATACACGAAAGAAAAGATCTGACTTTTCTCTTTTATATGGCCAAGTACTATTACAAAATAATAAAAAATTGTAGAGTTACCGATTTTTGAAGAGGTACATGCAAATTAAAAAAAAATCAAAAAACTCTAAATATTTCGAAAACGGTTAAATTTAGGTATAGGGAAGACTGATAAAAACTCTCTCAAAATCATCCAAAAACGCAATAAAAAACATAACTTTCTATTTAAAATAACGAAGTTGATACTCATTTCCGAAAGTGGAGACATCTTGAAAATAACGATTGTAGCTATAATCAAAATTTTAGATAAATGTCATTATTAGAACTCCTAATACTTCTAATGTGGGGTTTAGCCGAAACAGCCTGTAAGGTCACTAGTTTAGCTGTAGTACTAGTTTTAGAATTCAGTTTAAAACTTTTTGTTACATGAGAAACTCAAATTAGGATACGTGTTCACCAATAATTTTACTTCGTATATTTTACAGAATTAGTCAAAAATAATGAAAAACCATTTAAGGGAGACCCTTTTTTATGTATGCAACCGCACTTATGAACAGAATTTTAAACGTGGTCTCCTTTAAGCTAGTCTCTTGAATTTAAATCGAGCCATCTTTATTTCCACACATGTTATTTCTCAATTCCGTCTGTGCCAACTCCTTGTCGTCTCTCCGGCCATATCATTAACATTGTAAAAGCGTTGGAAAGAGAATACTAAAATACTCCACCAACCAATCAAAAGTTGGCATTTTTTCTACTTCTTAAACTCGATTAAAATTCGGGTAATGAACTAGTTTTAGTTAGCTTTCTTCCCTATCTCACAATCATCGTTGAAGGGCGCCAAAGGAATTCCAATAACGTCTTCACCTTATCCTCAATGTTTCCAAAGTTTTTTTCTCGAGTTTATAAATACTTGAAGGATAATTATTGTGGGTTATTTGCGGTAATAGCAGTCTCTTATTTTATCAATTTTTAAACCTCCGATCAATCATTCCGGCTAAATTTATCTCACTCGTATAATTACCTTTCTGTTTCTCTAAATCGGTTTTGGAGAAAATATCTCTTCTTTACCACCGCATTAATATTTATTGAGCCATTAAGTCGTTTGACAATGCTTTCAACACGTCGCCATCAATCATAATATCCCCAAAGAGAGGTGTTTAGATGGAACGTGACTTGTGCTCTTCGAGAAAACCAATAGAAAAGAATTTTCTTTCAGAGAGTTTAGTCCGAAGTAAATTATCACCGAATTAGTGTAAACAAGGGTTGCGTGTGTGATTATCTGATAAGATAATGGCCGTGTTTAACATATGAGTAAACAGAATCAAAGAGCAAATTTACCGCCGTTTGATGACGTTTTTAACTTTTACAAATGTTTTAATTAAAACTCAAAAACTTTAGATTACTAGAACTGTAGACATTTTACGTTTTATTAAATTTTCTCAATTTTCGAAAAAAATTGTGTGAATTTTAGTAAATTTACATAAATTTGCATAAATTATGGCAAACTTTAAAAATTGAGCATTACACATACAGGGTGTCCCCCAACTTTGGAAAAATTCTGAAATTCAATTGTAAAAAAGAAAATACATAGCAAGAGAGGTCGTATGACACATTATTTTGAGGATATTTTTTTACAGTATATTTCTTAAATTGCATCGTTTCCTCAAAACCACTTTTGTTTCCTCTCACAATAATCTCAAAAAAATCGTTGTGTTACTTAACCCCCCTTG